TTTACATTTTTCAGTGGTTGGAAAAAACGGTCTAAAGAAGAATACCATTTCCTGATATGTGAAACTTACATGAAATTCAAATTTCAGTGTCCTTAAATAAAGTTTTCTTGGAACACAGCCCCACTGTGTATTATGTAATGGCTGCTTTCACTCTGTCTGGGCAGATTTAAGTAGCTGGCAAAGCCTACAGTACTTACCCTCTGACCCTATACAGAACACTTGGTGACCCCTGGTCGAGAATGAAGAATTCGCGTTACTGAATTCTCCTGGTTGGGTTACACTCAGGACATTGTCTTCTGAGCTGGGGTCTCCCTTTAAGTGTGCAGTGGGTTCAGAGAAGAGGGACTGGGATGATGAAGAGACTCCCCCCAAACCATATCATGGGAGGACAGGTTGAGAGAACGGGCCTTGTGTTACTCTGCGTCCTGGCCAGACCCCAACACCAGGACGCACTAACCCTGGGGAGCGAGGGTCGTGGCACTGTGGGCCTGGGCAAGCTGACCAGTAGCCTTTCCTGACAGGAGGGCATCGCACCACCAGACCATGAGCTCCCTGAGGGCAGGGTGCGTGTCTTGTCCTTTCCCTTCACTCCCTCCAGCCAGCGCCCAGCTCAGGGAGGGAGGTGAGGGGCAGGCAGGAGGAAGGTCTCCCAGCCCTTCCCTGTCCCTCCACCATTTGGCTTCTGTACTCCTCCTGCAGCACTTCCCGCCCCTGGTTAGAATTACCCGAACGGGGAATATTTAATCTAGAAAAGAAGAAGTCACAGTGGAAATGATAGCTGCCTTCTAAGTTTGTGCTTGACAATTGTTTTGAATTCTTGGAAGAGAATTACTCATGGGAGGCAGTTATGTAGTTAGTTCAAAGGGCAATGACCTTGAGTCAGAACATGTGGGTTCAAGTTCAGAAATCTCCTTGCTTTCTCAGGGCTTCAGTTTCTTCACCTCAAAGATGAAGCGTGCGTGTGACAGCTCATCGGATGACCAGGTCCACAGTGAACTAAGATTCCGCTTTCGCCTTAGAGGTGCTTTCAGGCCCGTAGGGGACACAGTCCTGAATACACCTAACCGACTTGCAGTGTGGACAGAGTGCAGAGGTAGCACCAGGGGGAAGGATTCATTCTGCTGAGGGGCTGCTGTGAATAAGGCCTTGGAGAACAAGAATTCCAGCTCCTTCAGCCCAAAGCATTCTGTGACTGTGTGAAAGATTTAAAAGGTTGTGGTATAGAAGAGGAATCAGACATATTCCCCATCTGCCCATAATGATTCAAGTTGTGGTTACAGATCTGATCACATCAGCCTCTTGCTTAAAACCCTTCGGGGACTTTCCTTGCTCTTCAGTTAAACATCAGCATCTTGGACAGGATCTGAGCCTTGCCAGCCTCCCCTCACTTTCCTTCCCTTGTGAGCTCTTGTCCATCCTCTGGTCTCTGCTCTGCCTCGCATCCTAGGGGAAGCCTTCCCCTACTTCCCATGTTACCTCTACTGACAGAGCCACCTTCCTTTCCTCTGGGGCGTTGCTTTGGTCATGCCCCAAATGAGGAGGGTCCATCTGTGAATTGACACAGGAGAGGCCAGTCTGCTGCGTTCACGACTGTAGTGTCAGCTCTTGGCACAGTGCCTGGCCCGCAGGAGGAGCTTAATCTGTATTCATAGAATAATGATAGATTTTGATCAATAAGGAGAGAAATATTCCAGAGAAGGAAATGGACTCCCGCAAGAGGGAGTGAGTTCCCACCCTGAGAGGTGTGTAAACTGGTTGATGCCAAGATGGAGAGGAGATTGTAGCAAGGATTCAGATGACTCACTTCACACTTCATGGTGCCTTTGGATTAGAGCACTCTCTTGTAGCTTACTGTTTGCAGCCATGAACCACTTAACGATGGGACACGTTCTAAGAAATGTGTTGTTAGGTGATTTCTTTGTTGTGCAAACTTCAGAATGTACTTACATACACCTAGATGGTATAGCTTACTACACACTGAGGCCGCATGGTACTAATCTCATGGACCACCGTTGGCTATGCGGTCGGTTGTTGACCGAAATGTTGTTATGCAGCGCGTGACTATAATTTTGTTCCGAACCTCTGTTATCACTGTTGTTCTCCACCGCTGGGGAAGCTTTTTGGGATCATCGAGGCTAAGTGATTTGTCTGAGGTCCTACAGTTAGAAAATGGCGGAATGAAGACAGAGTCCTGCGCTTGTTCAACCAAACCAGTTGTCTTTTCCGGGCCAGGGAGCCTGCCTGGTTGCATAAAGTGATCGTGCAGTTCTGTGATTTCCCAGGGAAGCAATTACAACTTGCTCTTCAGTAGAAGCCTACCCCACCTACAGCTTATGTATTTTTATGGTTGGTTGGGTTTTAAAACCCCTTCACATCATTAGAAGATTAAACTTACCTTTTAAAGTGATGGGTTGCATTTAACACTCCTAAAGATATGCCCAGTAAATGAAAAAACTCTGAGCTATGATGTTATTAAAAAGACACACATGCAATCCTCTCAGTGTTTGGCAAGGAGCAGTTTTCTGTTGAATTTACTGACACTCTTAGTGTAACAAGAGCCTTGGATAAAACCTGCCCAGTCCTGTGGGGACTGTGCTCAGAGCTTAAGTAGGTTGTATGACAGGCCTACAGCTGGATGTCTCACTGGTCATGACTTTCAAGATAGAAACCTTCACTTGGTGGTTCCTTCCTCAGCGATACTGATCTTGAAGTTGTTGGTTGTAGTACTTTACCAAGTGGAAGACGGTCGTTTCTTAATTGAGCAGAATTAATACCTGAGACACAAAAGCATGGAAGTCCTTTGACCTCCCCATTTCAAAGATTTATTAAGAGGATATTTTTCTGGATATTTCCCCCATAACTGATATAAAAACAGCCAGTTAACCTATGCTTTTGCAAGAACTGAGACCATGTAAACCCAGTCTTTCACTCTGCTGTGCTGACTTGTTAAAACTCTCTCGTAGTTGCCCAGTCCTCCAAATTATTTAGAAACCTTGATGACCTGACAGCACTTGTTCTGTATGTTTATCATGCTGTTTGCATGTTGCTTAGTCTGTTTGTCTGCACTGATGTACAACGTTTTGCTTTATTCTGGAGGATCTGAGTTTCTCAGAACTAACCTCTCAGAGGTGACCTGCGGAGGAGTGGAGGACAGCCTGCCACCTGGGCATCCTGCTCTAGGGCCTTGTGTTACTCTGCGTCCTGGCCAGACCCCAACACCAGGACGCACTAACCCTGGGGAGCGAGGGTCGTGGCACTGTGGGCCTGGGCAAGCTGTCCAGTAGCCTTTCCTGACAGGAGGGCATCGCACCACCAGACCATGAGCTCCCTGAGGGCAGGGTGTGTGTCTTGTCCTTTCCCTTCACTCCCTCCAGCCAGCGCCCAGCTCAGGGAGGGAGGTGAGGGGCAGGCGGGAGGAAGGTCTCCCAGCCCTTCCCTGTCCCTCCACCATTTGGCTTCTGTACTCCTCCTGCAGCACTTCCCGCCCCTGATTAGAATTACCCGAAAACCACATTCACTTCTTCAAAGGGAGCAGTGTTCCACAACACAGCTCAGAAGAGTGTGAGAAGTTTACCAACACTTCTGAAATGTCTGTGTCCTCCGCTTTGTCACCCTTACCCCCATCAGTCCACTCCTCTGGCCACAGAGAAAGTGGCTGGCCGCCTCACCCACCCCCTCTGTTTGCTTCCTGATCCATCAGTCTCTCTTGGCTACTCTTTCTTCTATCTCCTCTCCTGCTAATGAACCATAATAGGGCATAGAAGCAGATAGAAATATCTGTTGTATTTATTAAATTAAATTTAGTATTTTTTACCTTAAATTTTTAACAAATTATTTTACTCTATGTATATGTTTTCACTCCTTCTGCTATCTCAAACATGTAAATTAAATTGCTTTTTACGTCTTTTAGCTCAGGCCTAATTTCCCCTCTCCCTGCTTGGTAGCTCTTGATCCGACACCTCTGCTTCGGGAGAGTCAAGGGGCCAGAGGCGGTTGACAGTGTAGATGTGTGTAGAGAAAGCATGCCATGTAGGGCTCCTGTACCATGAACAAGGTTGGGAGAGGAAGTAGATGACGACTGTGCGGCCAGACCATGGGGAAGTAGGGTTAGTAAAGGATTGGCTATCTGGACCTGGAACACCACTGGAGGTTTCGGAGGCGAACAGACATTGATGAGTTTCCATGAGAGCGAGGCTGACTCCAGGGTAGAATGCTGTCGGCATAGTCGCTCGGTTTCCGGCTCTTTGGTGTCTTTTAGTTTTGTTTTCAGGTTTGTTTTTTTTTCTTTTCGGTTTCCTGTTTTAATGTTTGAATTATTTCAGCTTTGGTACACTTTAGAGAACGGAAAAAAATTCTAAGTAGAATTTTACCACAAAAAACAGAGGCATTTTTTTTTTCAGTTCTAGTCAAGTGGTCTCATCTGCCATATATAGTTGGAGTGATCACAGATCAGATTTTAGTCTCAGAGAGCCACCTTGTTGATTTCAGGAGGTTCTGGTATAATTACTCAAGAGTGTCTTAACTACTCAAGTGTCGCTTCTGACTGTAGGGGTTGGGGGCCCTCGGCATGTTTTAATGCTGATGACTGGGGGGATGTGAGACCTAGTTAATCCACTTTCCCGTACACTAGAAATGCACGATGCTTTATATATAGCCTCATTTCAGCCACCACCCAAGTGGTCCAGTCCAAAAGTATTAAAAAGAAATTTCATTTTTTGTCTCTTGGTGAACATTTAGAGAGGATCAAATTCATAATTCCTGGCAACACTTCTCTGTTTTCTGCCTCTTCTTGCAACCCTCACTTCCTGGAGATTCTTCATTGCGCAAACCTCCCCCCACCCCCCTCCACATGTTTCTTGCCCTTCCTTCTTACACCTCATTTTATTATGTAAGAATGACTGACTCTCTGGTGGTGGAGCCTTCCCTCTCTTCCTATTAGTCCAATCAGCATCACCCAAGGCTCGTCCGTCCTCTGTTAGCACTTCTCGGGGCAGGGGAAGGGAAAGTTGGATGGGCGACTGCTGAATCCTCCTTGGCAGGCTGGCAGAAGGGGGACCCCGTGACGATTCTGATGTTAGAAGTTTTGTCCCCTCTCAGCTGTATTTGGGGAAATGAGATTTGACTCATGAGATCATTCAAGTTGTGATCATGATAGTGTTTTTCTAGGTGCCTCATTTATGGTGCTCTCTTCTACGTTTGGTGTTTTTGAGTTGTAATCTAGTTATTGACACATACAGGAGAAATTTTTTTAATTCTCTTTTTAGAGAGTCTTAATTCCTCTTGCTGTAGCAAAGCTGATTTGAGGATTTACACAGCTCTGTAATTCAAAAGCAGGATAGCCCAGTGATAAGTGATAAGGCCTGTAGCTGTACCACTTCCTTATTTGATCTCCCTCTCTCTCTCTCCCTCTCTCACAGTTTCCTCATCTGCAAAATAAGAGTGATTAGAGTAACAGCAATAAAAATAATATTGCACATTTATTGAGTATTTACGGTTGTCAGATGGTGTACTCAGCGCTTCCTCAGCATTTCCTTCAACCAGTGGATGCTGCTGGGACTCCGTTATCATGCAGTATCCACAGTAAGGGCGAGCATGCATTGAGCACTCCCTGTGTACCGGGCGAGTGCTGTGTACTGTTTCCATCCCTAGGGTAAGAAACAGAAGCTTAGGGAGGTGAAGTCGCCCACCCAGTGTATGTGCAGGGCAGGGGTGGCCCCACACTGTGGGCTGCAGAACCTCCTTACACCACGGCAGTGTTGGCAGGAGCAAATGAGATAGTTCTTGTAAAAAACTTAGCACAGGGTCTGGAACATAGCAAAAGCTCAAACTGTAGGTGTTTTAATTATCAGTGAAGCCATACTTTTTTCTACTAAAACATTGTACCTCCTCTCCGTTGGTTTAGAAGCCCCACTCCTGACCACATTATCTGTGAACACCTCAGGATGTCTATGGGCTGCAGTCCATGTACCTAATAGGAAGGGGCTCTTGTGTCAGATCTGCGAGGTCCTGGATGTGGTTGTGTGGCCAGGGCCGCAGGGAGGGAAGGGAGCCGCTGCCTCCAGGTCGCACCCTGGTGATTATGCTCCCTGGCCCTTCTTGGCTTGAGTTACTTGACCAAAACCTGTAGGTGCATTAGGTGGAGGGAGGCCGGGAGTTGAGGCTCTAGGTTTGCGTGGGCAGGGGATGTTGAGCCCTCGCGTGTTTTTTTCTGAGTTGATCATATTCTTTCTTTCTTGGGTTGCATGTGGAGTTTAATTTCGAGGATAAGGGCAGTGGGCTAGGGAAGTGTGTGTGTGTGTGTATGTGTGTGTAGGAGTGGGGAGAGCCATAATCTGCAGTGGGTCCCCTTGGAGGCCCTGGGCAGCTGCAGGAGAGGCCTCATGCTCAGGAGAGGGCCCTGATTCAGGGGTCTCAAACCAAATGCCCCGAGGTGCTGGGTGGTAACTTAAAAGACTGCAGCAAATTGGTTGGAGTGTGTGACAAATGAGAGCACGTGCCTCTGGAGGGGCAGCAGCCACACCCCACCTCAGTGACTGTGAGCCCTCCAGGTCCGCACAGAAATGAGCACCACCCAGTGGGAAGTAGGCAGATGCTCTGAAAGGCTCTTCACAGAGGAAGCAACGTGACCGTGTTAGCACAGACATACAGATGACAGTGAAACATCACAACCAGCACTGGCGTGTGGGGAAGTCGGGGGCCTCGTGCTCGTCTGTGTGGTGGGAGGGTAAATTGATAGCGATGTTTTGGAAAGCTCTTGGGCAACATCTTGTCAAAACTCAAAATGTGCACGCCCTTTGATCCTGAGTTTCCTCTTCTTGAAATTATCCTAAGAGCTACCACGAGTCCACAAGGACTGTGGAGGAGAATGTTTGTCTCAGCAATGTTGGTAAGAGTGAAAAATGGGAAACAATCCAAATGTTTATCCATAAGTCAATGATTACGTACATATATGATGGTCTATCTTTATAATGAAATGTTATGCATTCTTTAAAAAGAATAATGTAGGGGCCACCTGGTGGTGTAGTGGTTAATTTCACACGCTCTGCTTCCAGGGCCCAGGGTTTGCAGGTTCAGATCCCCGGCGCAGACCTATGCACCACTCGTCAAGCCATGCTGTCCCACGTACAAAGTAGAGGAGGATTGGCACAGATGTTACCTCAGGGACCATCTTCCTCACAAAAGAAAAAAAAACAAAGAATAATGTAGATCTATACACACAGTGATATGAAAAGATGTCCAACTTATAATTTGATATGCAATTGGTATAAAGAGAAAAAACAAACTGTAAAATCGTGAGTAATATTCTGTTTTTCTAGAAAATGTTTATGATGACAATAAAGGAAATTATGTCACATAGACAAAATTTTACTTCTTAATTTAAGAATTTACTAAAAATATTTGCATATGTTAGAATTTTCAAAGTTGGGAAATCCATCTGAATTTATAAAAGTATAAATTATAGATGTAAAGGCAGTATAGCTTTACACTTTTGTGTGTGTGTGTGTGTGAGAAGGATTAGCCCTGAGCTAACATCTGATGGCAATCCTCCTCTGCTTTTTGCTGAGGAAGACTGGCCCTGGGCTAATGTCTTTTCCCATCTTCCTCCACTTTATATGGGACGCCGCCACAGCATGGCCTGACAAGCGGTGCGTCAGTGCACGTCCGGGATCCGAACCTGTGAACCCCGGGCCGCTGAAGTGGAGCTCGAGCACTTAACCGCTATGCCACCGGGCTGGCCCATAGCTTTACATTTTTAAACAATTCATAGAAAGTTTTACTAAATATCCAGGTAGGAGTAAATATTATAATAGCTAATCAGTTCCAAACAAATAAGCACCTGTTTTTGAAAATGTCCTTTTAAATAATTACAAATATGTGTATTTTTATTTGCTGGTAACTTTCTTTGCTGGTAAATTCTCTTTATCGAGAGTGTAAATGCACATCAAATATCCACATGATCAAAAATGCTAAAATTGTAGATTCTGAATTGAGGCTTCTACTAGGTTAATCGTTGGAATTTCACTACACCATGTACTAGGGAGGGGACTATTTCACAATGAACCCCAGGAGGTTTGGCCACCATTCAGAAGTCCTCTTCCTCATTTGTACTTCAGCATTTTGCATGCTCAAACATCATATAATTAGGAGTCGGCTGCACATAGGGAAATATTGCAAATACACAGTGTGAGCTCTCCAGGCCTGTTAATTTTCTCTCTTGTCAAATCAGGAATCATAGAGTCAACCGTAAGCAGCACATGTATCTCATCTCATGACTCTTCCAAGTGGTCCAGTTTCTGGAAGTGATGTCTGTATGCCTGCTGTTCTGTGTTCACGTCACTTGTTCTGTGTGTTAAGGTGATGCCGTATGTTATGGCTCATGATTTAAGAACGTCACCAGTGGGTGGAGGTGGGTGGTAGCAGGGTCGCTAGAGGCCCCCTGGGGTGACTGCCTCCCATGCACTCGTGCGCTCAGTGCCAGCCGAGTCCCCGGAAGCATTCCTGGATTCAGCAGGTATTCAACACAGCCCACAGTGCACTGTGCTGGTTCTTAATTTCATTCCTTCTTTCCCCAGTGAGGTCAGTATTTTCCCCCCACTTCACAGTCAAGACAGTTCAGGGTGAGAGAAGTTAGGTTCCCACAGTCACACAGCTATGAAAGTAGGGGAAGCAGGTCTTGAATTCAGGTCTGAGGGATTCTGAAACCCATGCTCTTCGCGTTCACTATTCCTCTTGAATTTTGTGGAACAAAGATATTCTTAAATGTGACACTGATTACAGGAGAACTAGGCCTTTAATTTTTAGATTGAATTTTTGAGTGCTTTAAAAAATGTTTATGTCGGGCCGGCCCCGTGGCTTAGCGGTTAGGTGCGCGCGCTCCGCTGCTGGCGGCCTGGGTTCAGATCCCCGGCGCGCATCGACGCACCGCTTCTCTGGCCATGCTGAGGCCGCGTCCCACATACAGCAACTAGAAGGACGTGCAGCTATGACATACAACTATCTCCTGGGGCTTTGGGGGAAAAAATAAATAAATAAAATTATAAAAAATGTTTATGTAAATCGATGATCAACACTTTGCAAGTAAAATAATCCAATGTATCTTTTTTTTTCCCTTAAAGCAGACTTGTGTAAATGTGATATGCTTTTTCTTTTATTATTATTAAATTTTTGTAGGAAGTGACCAAGTTCACTCCTGGACACTAGTCACCAGCCAAGCCTTAGATACTGCTTGGAGAATAGCAAAGGGGTCGGTGATGTTGGCAGTTTCGTTTCTGGTGGCCACCCTGTGCTACTTCAGAAGGCTGCATTTATATGTAGGGCGTCGGCTGAAATGGTAGGTAGTTGTATCATCTTTAAATTTCAAAAATACCCTTGCTATTCAAAGTAGAATTTTGATATTATTGTTCCCTTTATCTTTTAGGTGGATTGGATATCTGCAGAGAAAATTCAAAAGTAAATATTTTCATGCATATGTTTCCATATTTTTAAGGTGCAGAGAGCGTTCAAGAAGGGAGAAGGAAGGGAAAATTAACTACCTTTTATTTCTGATTCGGTCCAGGGAACCTCAGCGTGGAGGCAGAAGTTGATTTACTCAGTTATTGTGCAAGAGAATGGAAAGGAGAGACACCCCGGGCCAAGCTGATGTGGAAGGTGTGTCGTTTATAAAGCTCATGGAAGGTGGAGAATTTGTGTGTAAAAATCAGGAAACAAACATTCCATTTTGCTTTACTAAATCCAAAAATCAACTAATACCAAATGTGACGCAAGAACAAATTGTGGCTCTAATTAAAAAGCCAAACAGCTGCTAGACATTGGCTTCTGGCCTTTTCCCCTAGAGCTAGTGCCTTCAAGGACGTGGGTAAATTAGGCCTGTAATTTCAGGAAACTTGGGCATTGTACTCTTCAGCTCTCTCGTGGCCGGGCCTATTAAACATCTGCACAGGCAGTGCGGACTTCTGTCCTTGAAGAGGTCGGGCACCTTGACATAAAGTATTTTGAGGATTTTTAGAATTTTCCTTTGGACCAACCTTGTCAATAGCAAAAGCAAAAAAAAAAAAAAAAAAGTTACATTTAAAATGCTCCTTGGCGTGGTCTTAAAAGTATATGATGTTTTTCACTAGGGTCAAGTTGTATCCATCATCTCCCCGAAATGACACCCACTGGCGTTGGGCCTCCAGGAAGTTATCAGTTAAAATAGCATGACATGGACACATGTTACTTTAAAGTGACAAGTGGTCACATTCGTAATTTATAATTGTTTTTGTTTCTGTTGTCCACTTTATTTGGGAGTAACGCCTTGCTGAAAATACAGTGAATTCACTTTCTTTCTTCTCTTATCCAATGGAATTAGAAACCAGCTTTCTCTTTTTGTGCTAATAGGCCTATGAGGAGCTCTTTTGGCGGCGTCACATTAAATGTGTTCGACCAGTAAAGAGAGATAACTACGATGCGCTGAGATCGGTGTTGTTTCAGATATTCAGCCAAGGCCTCTCTTTTCCATCCTGGATGAAAGAAAAAGACATCGTTAAGGTAAGTCCTCCTCCTGGAGAGACGGGAAACGTCACGTTGACAATACCTGCCACACAGACTCTGCAGGTCTTCTGTGGGCGGCTCTGTACACAGGGCGTCATGAGACTGAAGGGGCCTTTAGCCCAGTCCTCTGTCTCTCATGTAACTTTGCAAATAAACCATGTCAGAAAGATAGTCCTCCTCAGTTTTGTTTGTTTCCACCGTCTTTTCTTGAGAAGAGCATCTGTCCTTAAGTAAGGTGGTCTACTAAAATTCACTTTTTACTCTATAGTTGTTGAGTTTAGACAGACGCATGCAATGTGTAACCACCACCCCAAAGCTTCTCTCGTATTCCTTTATAGTCAATCCTTCTCTCACCCCCAGTCCTGGGCCACCACTGATATGTCTTCTGTCCCTGTAGTTTTGCCTTTTCCAGAATGTCATATAAATGGAATCATATACTATATAGCCTTTTGAATCTGACTTCTTTCACTTAGCATAATGCATTTTCAGATCATCCGTGTGGTTCCGTGAATTTGTAGTTCATTCCTTTCTATTGTCGAGTGGTATTCCTTGACATGAACGTAACACAGTTTGTTTATCCATCTACCAATAGAAGGACATCTGGATTGTTTCCAGTTTTGGCAACTGTGAATAAAGCTGTTATAAATATTCCCATACAAGATTTGTATGAACATAAGTTTGTATTCCTTTTGGGTAAATACCTAGGAGTGAGATTGCTGGGTCATATGGTAGGTCTATGATTAACTTTATAAGAACCTCCAAACTATTTTCCAAAGTGGCTCTGCCATTTTGCGTTCCCACCAGTAATGTCTAAGAGTTCCAGTTGCTCCACATTCTCCAGTTGCTCCAGTATTGTCAGGTTTGGGGCTTTTTTTTAGCCATTCTAATCGGTGTGCATTGGTATCATTGTGCTTTTAGTTTGCATTCCCCTAATGAGTAATGATATTGAGCATCTTTTCATGTGCTTATTTGCCATCCATATTATCTTCTTGGAGAAATGTCTGTTCATATCTTTTGCCCATTTTTTATTGGGTTTGTTTTTTTTATTATTGATTGAGTTTTGAGAGTTCTTTATATATTCTAAATACAAGTGCTTTATCAGATATGTGATTTGCAAGTATTCTCTCCCAGTCTGTGCTTGTTTTTTCATTTTCTTAACAGTGTAGGGCAGTACATTCTGGATGAATAACCTGAATTTTTATTTTGAATGTAGTATGCCTAATCTAGGATGTACATTTAAGAATGGAGGAGCAAAGAAATATAAAGTATATGCATATACATAGCTACATGTTCTGTTTCCTTAACATTTTAAGTTTAGAGTTGTTTTTGTTAGTTTCATTTCATCTAGCAAATGCTTGTCAAGGGTATGTAGTGTGCTGGCCCTGCTGCTAGTTGCTGAGGACAGAGAATGCAACCGAGACCTTGGGCTTCACAAACTCAGCCAGCTTGGAAAATGTATTGGATATTTACGATGGATCAGATTCTTCCGTATTCCATAATCTTATTTAATCCCAACAAGAGTCCCATAAAGTGGATAGTATTGTCCTTGATTTACAGTGGAGGGTGAGGCTAAGAAGTTAAATAACCTGTGCTGGTTGAGTAATCTCTCTGCTGGTAAGTGACAGCTGGGTTTGGATCCCACAGTGCATCCTTCTAAATCCGTGTGTTCCCTGATGTACTGTTACTCTAACATTCTTTGGTTAAAAATAATTACTACAGGGATATACCTAGGAAGCTGGGGAAGTGTTTTATCCAAAAAGATTGTTTCTATAGACATAATCTTCGTTTAGGTTTTCATCAGTTGTGAAATTGTGAATTAAGAATGTGATCCAAATCGCTTAGTCCACAAATCTAAAAAGAATGACTATGTGTCTCCTTAACTGTTATGATAGTCTTTTAAAATGAAGATTGCCAAGTGAGATAAGACGTGCTCTGACATATTCCAAATTGTGTGTAATAAATGTTGAGATACTAATCATTGCTGGCATCTACTTCCTTTTCAAGCTTCCTGAAAAACTGCTCTTTTCACAAGGTTGTAATTGGATCCAGCAATACAGTTTTGGTCCTGAGAAGTACACAGGTTCGAATGTGTTTGGAAAATTACGTAAATGTGTTGAATTACTGAAAATGCAGGTGAGTGTTTAGGGGGAGAAGAGACTAGGAATGAAAGCATGCAGCCCAAATGTAGCCACATTCTCTGATGTCAGGCCTCACTCTGTTACCGAAGCAGGAAGTGCAGGCAGAAACACTTCCAGTAACTGATGGCTTCCTTTCCTTGTTCTTCCTTCTCCTTCCAAGTAATGAGCGAGAGCAGCGTTGTCCTACATGGTAATGAGGCCCGTTACGGGTTAAGGAGGCCCTTGGGGGCTGGCAGGAAGCCTTAACAATCATGTGCCTTTGTTTCCCTAGAAAAATGTGGTGCAAGGTCCAGACAGGGCACTCAGAAATGCCCTTTTAATAACGTGGGGACAGCACACATGTTATAATTTGACTAAGAGTTTTTCCTGCCTTTTAATAAAGAGAGGGATTTTGGATTATTAAAATGAATCCTCCTTGGGAAATACCGCAACATTTCTGTGCCATAGTTTTCTGATCTGCAAAACTGAAGTAGGAATAGTATCTACCCTGTACAGTATTGTGAGGATTCAATGAGTTAATACATGTAGGGTGCTTTAAACTGTGCCTGGCACATGGTGAGTGTTGAAGAAGACCAGTTAGCACTGTTCGTCTCTGGAATATTGTGTAACCCAGCTATCTTAAGCAGTTTTTGGAAATTGACTTGCTTAATATTTTACCTAGTAGGTGGTGCTTTTTTGGAAAAATATTTCATTTAAACTAGCTTGTTGGGGCCGGCCCCGTGGCTTAGCGGTTAAGTGCGTGCGCTCTGCTGCTGGCGGCCCGGTTTTGGATCCCGGGCGCGCACCGACACACCCCTTCTCTGGCCATGCTGAGGCCGCGTCCCACATACAGCAACTAGAAGAATGTGCAGCTATGACATACAACTATCTACTGGGGCTTTGGGGGAAAAAAATAAATAAATCTTTAAACTAGCTTGTTATTGTAAAAGTAACATATATAGTCATGTGCTGTGTAACAGTGTTTCAGTCAACAATGGACCACATATGTGACAGTGGTCCCCTAAGATTAGTACATAGAACTTAGGTGTGTAGTGGGCTGTACCATCTAGGTTTGTGTGAGTACAGTCTATGATGTTCACACAATGACGAAATCGCCTAACAACACATTTCTCAGAATGTATCCCCATCCTTAACTGACGTATGACTGTACTCATGGCTTAAAAAATCAGTGTCCAAAGATATAAAATGGAAAGTTAAAGTCCCACTCCCCTCTATTAATCTTTAGTTTATTTTATAAGTACTTTAGAAGTTATGCAGTGGTGTCTGTAGTCACTGTCCCCTTCTAAATTTCACTTTCACATCTGTGTTTTTAGTGGACTGAATTCAGTGGCATTAAAGATTATCACAAGAGAGGAAGTATGTGCAACATCCTTTTTTCTGATGCTATTCTGGAATATAAACTCTATGAAGCTTTAAAGTTCATCATGCTTTATCAAGTCACTGAAGTTTATGAACAAATGAAGACTAAAAAGGTCATTCCCAGTCTTTTTCGACTCCTGTTTTCCCGGGAAACATCATCTGACCCTTTGAGCTTCATGATGAATCACCTCAATTCTATAGGCGATACCCGTGGCCTAGAGCAGGTAAACCGGGCAGAAGAACCATGTGTTTGATGGAGGGTGATATTAGCAAAACTTGAACACACAGATGTTTGGTGTTGACTTTTAGCCATGATAAAACCAGCTGCGAAGAGGTGGTGGGTTGATCTTCTTGCCCCTGCAGTGGGGTAATAAACCTCCCTGCTCCGTGCTGGTTGCTGTGTGTCTGTCCAGCCCTGTGGCCGGAGAGCAGCAGGGCTGGGAGCCTCTCTGAACTTTCACACTGCTGCTCAGATGGTAACAGGTTCACACAACAGAGGTTAACCAGAAGAAAGTCCAGTTGGAAAGTGAGATAACATTTGGGAAAGCATTCGGTTACTTACTGCAGATAAATGGAAATTATTGAAATTTTAAAAATCCAGACAGTGCTTTTGTATCCTCATAGAAAAGGAGTTTTGTTCTGTTTTGTTTTGTTTTGCTTTCTTAGGAGGGGCACAAATTATCTGACATTTTTATAAAAATTGATTTAAAATGATATAAAACTAGTTGGAAAACAGTGTAATTTTTACTGTGAGCATTCCTTTATTTTTTATTAGTTTTTTTTTCAGCTTTCCCCTGTAATTTCTTCATGCTGGGCTACAGAGATGTTCCCCCACTCGTCCCCGGCCTTCCACGTAATGGACATTTGTTCCTAACTCTGTGCCCACTCAGTGGTTTGTGTGTGGGTCTGTAAACAAGCACGTTATTTCATAGGCTGCAGAAGAATACTGGTGGGAGGGCAGGAATCTGGAAATGTGTATTTGTGACCCCTCTTTCATCTCTTCCCCAGATTGATATGTTTGTACTTGGATACTCCCTTGAAGTGAAGATAAAAGTGTTTAGACTGTTCAAGTTTAACTCCAGAGACTTTGAAGTCTGCTACCCGGAAGAGCCGCTCAGGGAGTGGCCGGAGATCTCCCTGCTGACCGAGAATGACCGCCACTACCACATTCCCGTCTTTTAAGTCTGGCATGGACCGGGCACTGCTCTCGCCAGTGACAGTGGTCACGCTTGCAAGTCATGTTTCTCGAAAACCAAAACAAATGTTGCCGCCACTGAGGGAATTAGGACCTCCTTCCCCAGAATTACAGGTACACTGGACGGATGCACTCGGGTGATGGGCACGGATGGCTTTCTTGTGTTTTCAGTGATTTCCTCCAAAGCAGCTGCTCTCATGTATTTGTGGGTGGTGGTTTGACCTTGTTCATCAGGGCTCTGGTCACTTCACACACTGTGGGCCTTGAAGAGCACGAGGAAGTTTAATTTGGACAACAGCAGGAAAAAAACGAGAAGAAAACAAGTTGGGAAAAAAGACTAACCTGGAAAGAAAGAATTTCTTTGTCTCTATATTCTTCATTATGAATCTGGTCTTTGGCTGATTTTGGATCTTCATAAACATGGCCTTATTTTATGAGGAATCTATGGTATACTGATTTTCCAGAACCACTTGATTAACTGTAAAATCATGTGTTAGCGTGTGTGTATATATATCTTTATACATATATACATATGTAGATATATATACACACATATGTATACGTGTATAGTTTTATATATACATATGTAAACACATACACACAAATAACCACTACTTTGTAATGTTGTACAATTTGTTTTATATCTCTTTACATTTTTTTGTTACTGTTGCATCTGGCCAGTTTAATATGTTTTATATAGGTAAAAAAGATAAATTCTGTAGATTAAGGGTGGAATGACATTATTGAACTGTCATGAAAATATTAAACTCTGGTGTATTTACATGTGTATTTAATGTGTGGTAGGTAGAATCATGCTCCCCCAAAGATGTCTACGTCCTAATCCCCAGAACCTGTGAATATGTTGGGTTAAATGGCAAAGGTGAATAAGGTGGCAGGTGGAATTAAGGTACTAATCCTCTGACCTTGAAATAGGGAGATTAGTCTGGGTTCTCCAGGTGGGCCCCATGTAATCACAAGGGTCCTTAAAAGTGGAAGAAGGAATTGGAAGTGTGCGAGTCAGAAGGAAATGTGAAATACAGGGGAACAGTCAGAAAGAGATGCAACATTTCTGGCCTTCAAGCCCAGGAATGTGGGGAGCCTCTGGAAGCTAGAAAAGGCCAGGGAACAGATTCTCCCCTAGAACCTCCAACGCAGCCTGCCAACACCGTGATTTTAGCCCTTGAGATCCGTGTCAGACCTCTGACCTACAGAGCTGTAAATCATAAATCTGTGTTGTTTAAGTAGCTAAGTTTGTGGTAATGTGTTATAGCAGCAACCAACAACTAATATACTCTGGCTAACTAATTTTTGGTCATCTTTATTTTGGAAATACTTTTCTAGTTTATTTTGGTAATCTTTATTTTGGAGGTACTTTGCTAGTCTGTTTGTAATTTCAATAAAATACCAAAATAACTTTTAAAATCTTGGCTAATGATATACTATTTCAAAGTTACAAATCCCTTCTAAGAGTGACTTACTTAACATGTTTGATGGTAACATTTTCCCACATTTTCATATTGTGTCTACTAGCAATAAAAAAGAGGTGTATTAAATGCTGTGGTGTATGAAAGTAACACTCATATTCTTTTGTAATGGGGACAATCACCTGGATGTACTACATAAGCCACACGTCCAATAGTGTGTTGTGTTGTGCCTGCTTTGTTTTGTTTTCTGCTTGAAGAGTTAGAGAGTAATGAGCTCAGACAAGGGGCTTTGCGTTACCTCGATAGCCACACAAAACAGTAGTTTTTAATTGATCTTGACAGCCCTTTCCTGCTTGGAAGCCTCTATGGTTTTGCATAACCCCTGTCATTTAATTGATACTGTTGGAAGTGATCCCCTTGATGTGTTACTGTGACCAAGAAGGCATCAGCTCTTCGCTTTGTGTTCACAAGCAGACGTGATGACAGCCTGCAGCAGGCTGCTGTGACTGATTCGCATAAAAGTGCTGCTCCGTACTTCCAGCTCCAGGTGAGCTGTCCAGGCACCTACCTGGCGTTTGTGTATTACCATCCTCCTTGCATCTCCTTACGCATTGTAATTATTTCCACATCAGTCCAGGACTGCAAGGAATAACTTTTTCTCAGGATTGGCAGCCTATAGCTCTGTGACATATCAACGCATTATGTTTATCCTAAACTGTGTTAGGGGACGGGGCAGGGTGGGGCAAGAATTCCTTAAATAGAGAGACAAGACCAAATTGTGAAAAAAGGACATTTCAATACAATGAGAGTAAAAAGTAAAGAAGACCTTTAAATAGTTGCTATATTTTGGGAAGGCATCAAAACAGAAGATTTTAAGGGAGGAGATATTATTTTTAAGGGAGGGTGTTTTTGTTTTGTTTAGTTTTTAATTCAGTTGTATAATGAATGTAACTGCATATAAATTAGCATGACATTTAAACGCCAACAATAAATTGGAGGTGCATTTCCTGTGTGATGACAACATTTAAAGTCTTTCTAACCTTATGTGTTATAAGTGATGAGAGAATTATGGCAAAAATGAAAACATATGCCCTTGTCCTTTTCTGATTTTAGAAGAAATTTCTCTCTTACATTTTGGCCATATGAGGTGTTATATGAATATTAGTACAAGGGCTGACTTTTCTTACTGTAGTAAAATATACATCACATAACATAAAATTTACCACTTTAACCATTTTTAAATGTAGTTTAGTGGCTTTAAGCACATTCACATTGTTGTGCAACCATCACCACCATCCATCCTCAGAACTTTTTTATCTTCAAGACTGACTTTTTTGTTAGGCAAGTTTAATTCCCCCACCTGGTACCTGGATTTCTTTTACTTTTCACATTATCTTTATTTCATGCCCTTCTAATCTCATTATTTCCTCCAGGCTTAAAAGATCCTCAGTTTAGAAGTCCAGCGTCAGGGAGGATTAGGTGACCAAATGGTCAGGCAAGTTGTGTTTTACTTCATCTCCAAAGTAAAGAAATAACCGTGGGCGGCTTCTGGTTTCATCCTAGGAAAACCATCATTTGAAAGGTCTTCCAAGAAACTATTCATTCAGGGCCACCCTGGCGACTTGAATTTCTGGGATGTGTGCCTTCACAGTCTTGAACCAAGGGACCAGGGAAAAGCCCCAGGGCCTTTTCTAGGGTATAGGAGAGCCCCAGACCAAGCTGGTGTGGGATCAGCCCAGCCCAGGAAAGAAGAGCGGCCCAGATCAGGGGGCATTCACCTTAATTTTCCAAGGACTTTCCCACCAATGAATTTCAGATGGAAATATTTGTTATTGTTGTATGTCAGATGATTTTCTCATATTGGAGATCAAAGAGAGATCACTTTAATTTTGTCCAAGCTGGTCTGGGGAGGAAAAACATCTAACTTCTGAAAATATTGGGAATTTCACATTAAAGAAATGTTTTTTAATTGATAACTAAATATGTGAAAACCTATACAAATATGAATAAAGGGATGACTAATTCAGAATTAGTATCAGTTTTAGGTTAAATGGCAAGTTCCTACAGCCGTGTGATTCTTTTTACGAGAATGTTTTTCACACTGCTGAAGACTAGTTACTGTGTAAAATTTAAAAATATAATCTATACTTTTATGGATCTAAAACATGAACAGTCTACTGGGTTGCTTTTCATAAGTTGAATATTGTTTCATTACCTCGGTATTACTATATTTAGGGATACTTTTCTCTATAGGCATTCAGTTTCCTTCCAATCCTATTTTTGTCACAATGTTTGATTTATAGTCTGACACAAAATTAAGTGGTTCCAAATTGTACAATCACTTCTATGTTATTTATTCAAAATAGTTGGGTCTTCCCTTAATCCACTTTGGTTTTAATCCTGTCATACTCCTGTAGGCCAAGAAAATGAAAACTTATCTGGATTACACTTATGCTTAACGTCAACATGGTTTATAAGTAATGGAAAAACCACTCACTCGCACATTCAACAGCCCCGAGACCAAAGTGCTCTGTAGAACAGCCAGGAGTGTGTGCCACGTGTCTGCCCTTGGAGATGAGAGAATGTGTTTGAGGAAACGAGAGCTCTGTGTGGACCGAGTGTGGTTCAACACCAGTGTGGATGAGTGGACTACACGTGGGATGTCCAAGTTGTATTCCTAAAAATAGGAATGTCTCTGGAAAAAAAGACCATTCTCTGCTTAAAAACCAAATTTCTGTATGTAGTCGATCTATTGGTCTTCATAGTCATGTCATCAGGTCTTACATTGTTAAGTCATTTTGCTGCCACCACTGTCAGTTATTTGTAATGATTCTTGGAAAGTTTAGTCAAGAGAATTTCCTAAAATTAAAAAAATGTGTGCTTTTTTTTTTTTTTTTAAGATTTTATTTATTCATTTTTTTCCCCCCAAAGCCCCAGTAGATAGTTGTATGTCGTAGGTTCACATCCTTCTAGTTGCTGTACGTGGGACTCGGCCTCGCGTTGGACGGAGAAGTGGTGCCCTGGGGCGTGCCCGGGATCCGAACCCGGGCCGCCAGCATCAGAGCGCATGCACTTAACTGCTAAGCCACAGAGCCGGCCCATAAAATGTGTGCTTAAAATATTTTCAACTTAGTCTAGATGGGTGGTAAAACTCATTTCTGTACAAGTAGTTTATTTAAACTAGGAATGTGTTCTAAGAAGGTTTCCTGAAGTACAGAAATATTTTCTCCATTGAAATAGCCTGTTTGTAAGCAAAGAATGTTTTCTTCTTCCTAACCTATGAAACCTCAGACGGAACATCTAAACAGAACCAAATAGAGGTCGGTAGTTACAACTGAATATCAGCATAGCAGTTTATAGTTTTGTTTTGCTGCCCACAGAAGTTTGAGAAGGTCAAGTGAGAGTCAGAGCAGGAAGGCTAGAGTGCTCTATGGGCAGGGTCACAGCTGTACTTCATTGTGACTTATCCATCAAGAATTTCATAAGAACTGACACAAAAGCCTGAGACTTTCCTGGCCCCACTTCTTGTTATCACTGCCATCCCCAAAGACAAGATCTGGGAAACAACTTGGGAACTACTTCCAGTGCCTGTCCAATCTTGGCTTCTGTCCACTGCTCAGCACGTACACGGACTTCCTTTGGGTGCTGGCTTCTCTGTCGACTATGCTTCCTGGGAAGAACCAGGGCTAAGTGAAGAGAAGCAGCTGGTGCAAACTGATGACTGGGGCGAAGGCCTGAAAAGCTGCTTGAATGTTCTGGAACTTTCAGTATGTGATTCCCAGTAGACATATTGATGACTCCCTTAAATAAAAAAGGAGCAGAGATGAGATGATGCGTGGTGAAAATATTTGTTATAAAATATTCATATCATTGTAGGTAAATAGGAAAGATGAATATTTATATCTCTCTTATCAGAAGCTACCTTTAGCTATAATTAAACATGCTGGATAGATTAAAAGAAAAACTCAGCACTGGTGCATTTTCAATCTATGTTTAATTTGTTAATCAGCAAATGGTAAATGAGAAAAATTAATTTTTCCACTTGGTTTATATTTCACAAGGTAATAATGGAACGCTTCAATCTGCTTGTGAGACCAGTGATATTAGTAGTTGCATTTCTGGCTGTCCCTCCTGTATGTCTTTATAAGTGCAAGCAAATTGAAAGATACTCTATATACTGTACAGGAAAGGAAATGCCACATGATTCTCTT